AATCCTCAACTACAGTAGCAACAACCTTACAACACACAATATTAGTTGTGTGCTGACTCTATTCAAAAGAGTGAGAGCACACTAAAGTACAACAAATTCACGGAGAAATGAAGAAAATTACTTGGTGTCCATTCTAGAGAAGGACGGCTATCCACGAAACTTTTTCAGAAGATGCCTATCCCGGACACCATCAACTACAAAGTCATCGACAGAAATAAATAAACGCATCATCCTGCCACATATAAAGAATATATCAGAAATCACGACAAGATTACTGAAACCACTTGGAATTGGTGTGGCTCACAAACCAACGAATTCCCTCCAAACACTATTGTGCAGGCCAAAGGATGGAACAACCAAAGAAGACAAACCGAATATCATTTACAAAATCAACTGGAATAACTGTAGTCAACACACCACATTGGACAAAGTAGTCGCCCTCTTCGCCTTCGTCTAAATGAGCAATAATTGGCTATTAAACGTCAAGACATTCCATCACTCATGTCAATGCACGACCATGACAACTATGGACATACATGCAATTTTGACAATGTAGAAATCTTGGACAGAGGAAACACAAAATATATCAGAGAATTTATGGAAGCTTAGCATTCAGGTCAGTCAGCAATCAACAGATGTATAGACATAGACCCAATCTATCAACCAATGAGAAAAATGATAAATGATAGGAAGGTCAAAGGTCAAGTTGGAGACAGCCAACAGGAAAATCTACACAGTCAGTGACACAACAACCAAAGGAAATAACCAATCGCAAATCAGTTGGTCAAGGCAAGCTACTAAATCACTCACGGAGAGGTATTACCAGGTCACTTCATACTGAAGTCAGTATTGATGATGTCGTCCAGAAAGACAATGAAAGCTCCACGATCAAACAACCCAGGTCAAGACTATTTCATTCTGAATAATTTAGATGTTAATGATCAAAATGAATTAAATTTCTTCAACCTTACTTTTAGGATTAGAGACTGATGATTTGTTGATAAGCTTTCGAAAGCTTTTAGGTTATTACAGAAACACTCAGTGGAAATATCAGTTACTGGAAACCTCATCCAGAAGTCAGACCACAAGAACTACTACAAGCACCAGTTTTAACCAAAGAAATTCAAGCTACTTTTTCCAGTAAGTAATATTAGCTCATACGATTAAAATAGTCATAGTTAAAGGATGACTGAACCACAAACACTACATCTGCTCCTTCATAAGCATGCAGTGACGAACGAATACTTTATTCTTATTCATCAACACAGTAATCACTACCCATGTCCTGTAAGACATACAGTGTTATTTCCCAGGTAGCTTATAAACTAATAAAATACATTTACCTCTAATTAGAATAATTTAAACACTATTCTCATAATAATGAGATTAAATCGCTAATAATCTGAATATTTAAAACATCTTAGTAATCTTTATGTTCAATGATATAAGAACACTATAAATACTGCATATTTTTAGACTAGTATTGGTCGTCACCTTAGTAGTCAACAGATTCCTAGGTAGTCATTTCCTGTTTTGATCTCATTTAGTGTTTACCTTGAATATATAAGAAGTTAGCCATATCTGGAAGCATCATATCAAGTCGTGAAAGAGATAAACACAATTCCTTAATGCGATGTTTGATGAAATACACAAAACAATGAAACCAATGGATCCAAGCATGAATCCCTTAAATTATATGGTAAATTTATTCGTAATATTCTTGTGTTACACACTTTCCAGTAGGATTCTTTTCTTAGTTTATTATTATATTATTATTATTATTAGTCCCTTGGGTTCCTAGTGGAACATAGGGCTTCAGTAGCACGCCTCCAGTGACCTCTGTTCTCTGAGATCTTTTGAACCTGGTTCCACGACAGCCCAGAAGCTCTCATTTCCTCCTCGCACGACCTCCTCCATGTCACCCTCGGACGTCCAACTCGTCGCTTCCCATGGGGATTCCACTCGAGGGCCTGACGCGTGATGTCCTCAGTCGGCCTTCTCAGTGCATGCCCAATCCATCTCCACTTCTTCCTGCATATTTGTTGCGTGATAGGTTCTTGGTTGGTTCGTTCCCAGAGTTCCTTGTTGCTTATTTTTTCTGGCCATCTGATCTTCAGCAGCGAGCGTAAGCAGTTGTTGATGAATGTCTGTAGTTTATTGGAAATGCCTTTCGTGACGCGCCAAGTCTCTGAGCCATACAAGAGCACTGACTTGACGTTGGTGTTGAAAATCCGTATCTTGTTCCGCATGCTGAGTGCAGAAGATCTCCACACTGGTTTCAGGCTAATGAATGCCTGTCTTGCTTTTCCGATTCTGACTTTGACGTCCTCGTCCGTCCCGCCTGTAGTTGAAACAGTGCTTCCTAGATAAGTGAAGGAGGTTACTTCCTTCAAGTTTCTACCGTTGACGGTGATTGGAGTTTGTTGTTGTTGTTGATGGTGGTGGTGCGGTATCTTCATCACTTCTGTCTTCTCTATATTCACCTGAAGTCCCGTCTTAGCTGCCTCCTCTGTCAACTTGTTAGTTTTTGCCTGCAGATCTTCAAGTTTATGTGACATTAGGCATAAGTCATCGGCGAAATCCAAGTCTTCTAGGTTCTTTTCCGTCGTCCAGTGTATCCCCCTCTTCTCGCTGCCTACTGTTTGCTGCATGATCCAGTCCACCACAATTAGGAATATCATGGGGGATAGTAGGCAACCTTGTTTCACTCCTGTCTTCACTTCAAAGGCATCACTGAGCTTCCCATTGTGGATTACTTGGCATGTGGCATCTTCATATAGTTGTTGAATGAGGCGGATAAAGGTTTGCGGTACTCCGTAGTATTGAAGCAGTTTCCAAATTACTTCTCGGTCGACGCTGTCAAAGGCCTTCTCAAAGTCGATGAAGTTGAGGTATAGAGCTGATTGCCATTCTACGCTCTGTTCTATGATGATACGAAGCGTTGCAATTTGGTCAGCACATGATTTGTACTTCCTGAAGCCTGCCTGTTCCGGTCGCAGTTTTGAATCCAGTGCGTCTTTAAGCCTCTCCAGGATGATGCGGCTTAATATTTTACTTGGGGTGGATAGGAGAGTGATTCCTCGCCAGTTCTTGCAAGCACTGAGGTCTCCCTTCTTCGGCAGTTTGACAAGGTAACCCTTCTTCCAATCGTCAGGTACCTTCTCTTCCCTCCACACCTTCTGCAATAGTGGTGTGAGCATGTCCGCTGTTGTCTCTGCATCTGTTCTCAGTGCTTCTGGCGGTATTCCATCTGGTCCTGCTGCTTTCCCGCATTTCAGTAGCTTTATGGCGTTCAGGACTTCCATTTTCGTTGGGGGATTTATGTTCACTTGTAATTCAGCGGCTGCAGGTGGTATTTCTGGACGAAGTGCAGGTGGTGGTCGATTCAAGAGCTTCTTGAAGTGGTCGGCCCATCGTTTCCTCTGTTTCTCTTCTTTTGTAATTAAATTTCCTTCTTCATCTTTTATTGGTTTCATCTGTGTTGGTCTCTTCCCTGATAGCAACCTGGTTATTTGATACAATGTCGTCAGGTCTCTCTTACCTGCAGCCTGTTCTGCTTCACTTGCCAGTGTGTCGTAGAAGTGTCGTTTGTCTTTGCGTGCACTCTTCTTCACTTCTTTATCCAGTGTTTTATACATTGTGCTCAGTTCCTCTTGTCGTTGAGCATCCTTGCACTGGTTTATCTTCTGCTTCACCATCCTCCTCTCCCTCCTCTATCAGCTTCCAGGTATCCGTCGAGATCCATTCCTTGTCTTCTTTCTTCTTCCTTCCTAATACTGTTGTGCAGGTTTCTTTCCACATAGCTTTCAAAGACTTCCAGTGTTCTTCTACACAGGTTTCTTCAGGGATGTCCCTCGACGTCTCCCATTTTGTCTTGATGGCTGCTTTGAAGATCTCCTTTGTAGTTTCATCCTTCAGTTTCCGAGTGTTGTACTTGAATTGAGGTCTATCACCAGCTTCCTTGAAGGCTTTTAACTTGATTTGGAAGGTTCCTTGCACTAGATAGTGGTCTGAACCTACATCTGCTCCTCTTCTTGACCTTGTGTTAAGTAGACTGCGTCTCCATTTTCTTGAGATTGAGATAAAGTCGATTTGGTTTTTAGTGTGTCCATCTGGTGAAGTCCATGTCGCTTTGTGGATATCCTTGTGCCTGAACACACTGCCTCCAATCACCAAATCGTTGAATGCACAGAATTCTGCAAACAATTCTCCATTCTCATTCATTTCACCTAGCGCCTCTCGACCCATGGTTAGTTCTCTTCCCGTGTTGTCCCCTCCCAGTTTGGCATTCATGTCGCCCATTAGAATTTTGATATCGCCAACTGACGTCTTGTCCAGTGTTGACTGAAGTTGTCTGTAGAATTCCTCCTTTTTCTCTTGCTCTGCATTATTTGTAGGTGCATAACATTGTATGATTGTGACCTTTCTTCCTTTTGAGTTGAATCTTGCTGACATGATCCTGGAGGAGATTGGTTCCCACTGCATGAGAGCCTTCGATGCTCTTGAGGACATCATGATAGCCACTCCCTCAGTGTGCTCGTGGTTGTCGTCTGGGTGACCGGAGTAGATTATTGATTCTCCCGTTGACAGTTTGGAGAGTCCACTCCCATTCCATCTGCTTTCGCAAATCCCAAGCACTTCGATGTTATACCTTCTCATCTCCTTTGCAATCTGGGCTGCCTTACTGGGTTCAAACATCGTGCGGACATTCCATGTCCCCACGTTTACTTTCGCTGTCATCGAGAGAGAGAAGACACATCGGCCAATTGGCTTCCCGAAGGCTTTCACCAACTGGCGTCATTTCGCCTCTCCGATTCCAGCGGGGAATAAGTTTGTTTTCATTTTTTATATTTTGTTTGTGCTTTGAAGTTTGTTTAGCGGTTAGATTTGTTTTAGGGGGTAGGGTTGCTAGCCCTATGCCCAACCTTCCCTCTTTACCCGGGCTTAGGACCGGCTAGTAACTAGTAAACTAGTTAACCAGGCGAGGTTTTTCTTAGTTTATGAATGACACTAATAATACTTCATTCAATAAAATATTATTATTTTCAGGAACATGGAATTTTCTTCTCCATGGTACATCTGTTTATGACCGTAAAACCTATCTACCAGATCGATGTACTAAAAGCAGTGATGGGGTTGACTTATGTGGGAATTCACCAGATATTCAATATGTGGATGAATTTCGGTCAAAATATCCTGTTACGAAATATAATGGTTCGAGACCCGGGGCATTTTTTCCTTGGCCAAGAAATATGGCAGGTGAGTTGTTGTTTAGTTATACTATAGAAGTAATTCACATCTAAACATTGAGATTTAAAGTAAACTCAGCATTTTTGCGAAACTTTTACATAGAGATTAACGGATAATCTGCAAAAGATTGGTAATTCCCTAGAGTATTAGTCTATGTCTTACTTTGATCACATCAAACCTTACAACCATAGCATTAATAAGTGGTTTTCAGAAATCCTAAGTATCTCTCTATTTCTTTTTTACGAAACGCCTTGTGTTTTTTGCACGAAGGTGGTTTTTATAACTGATGTACTGTATTGCTTTAAAGATACAGTTCTTGTATTAAAGATGCACTCACACAAATTTATTTCTCACCGTAATCTGGCACATGACATTGGTGACACTCTCCAGTACTCAAACGAAACATTGGATAGTGAATGTAGTATCAATTAACTTATGTGGTTGCTGAAGTTGATGTGCAAAAACAAAATTATGAATTCTATGTTAAGTCGGCTGTATACTTCAAAGTGGTTGAGATGTATTTTATGCAGCTTCTAAATAAAGCACCATGTGAGCACGTAGCTTCTCAAGTGAATCTTAACTAAAAAGTGACCGTGTTTCATCATATGAATCCGTTACTTTAAGGTTCAGATTTTCTTTTCATTTGACAGTTATGATCATTCTATCATGATACAATAGATATAATCCATTTTTGCAGTGAAGAAATGAATCCTTCATGATGTCAACCAGCTCCCATTATTTGCAAGACGATTACGTGAAATCTTGATTCCAATCCATGTGACGATATATTTCCTAAAATTCATTTTAGCTACTTATTTAAACATAGTAGGTAAATACATTAGAATCAAATTTAAGTTTGTTTTCTCTAATCAGGTCAGCAAATCGAGAAGTTCGCATTTATGGTCCGTAATTTGTCACGTGTATTAATTTCTTCACAAAGATCATCTTAGCGCTTTAGACGAATCCTGTTAACAGCTTGCCACTCAGCTACATTATTACTATTATTTGTCCCTTGGGTTCTTAGTGGAACATACAGCTTCAGTAACACGTCTCCATTGCACTCTCTTCTCCGCAGTCTTTTCAACCTGGCTCCACGACTGCCCAAGCTTTCACTTCTTTCTCACATGATCTCCTCCATATCACCCTCGCCTCAGGCGCCCAACTTGTCATTTCCCCTGTGGATTCCACTCTAGGGCCTGTCACTTGATGTCTCCGAATGGTTTTCTCTGTATATGCCTCATCCAACCCATCTCCACTTCCTTCTTCTGCATATTTGTTGGGTGATAGCTTCTTGGTCGATTGGTTCATTGCCAGCCAGCCAGCAAGCCAGACAGCCACAGTGAGTTCCTCGTCACTTATTCTTTCTGACCATCTGATCTCATCTTCAGCATCGAGTGAGGGTAGCTGGCAGCTGTTCATGTATGTCTGTCTGTAGTTTGTTGGAAATGCTTTTCGTAACGTGTCAAGTCTCTCAACAATCACATGGAAGCATTGACTTACCTGACTAAATTAGTGTTGCGAATGTGGATGTTGTTCACGCTTTATGCTGAGTGGAGTGGAGTGGAGTGCAGTGGAGTGGAGTGGAGTGGAGTGGAGTGGAGTGGAGTGGAGTGGAGTGGAGTGGAGTGGAGTGGAGTGGAGTGGAGTGGAGTGGAGTGGAGTGGAGTGGAGTGGAGTGGAGTGGAGTGGAGTGGAGTGGAGTGGAGTGGAGTAGATCTCCACACTGATTTCAGATTAATGAAGGTCTGTCATGGTGTCTTTCCGATCCTGGCTTTGACATCCTCACGTGTGCCGCCGCGGTGTGTAGTTGAGACGATTCTGCCTAGGTAGGTAAAAGAGACAACTTCGTCTAGATTTCTCCCGTTGACGGTTCTTGGTGCTTGTTGTTGGTTGGGTATCTTCATCACTTCCGTCTTCTCTACGTTCACCTGAAGTCAGTCCCGTCTTCGCTGTCTTGACTCTTGTTTCAACTTGTTGCTTTTTGCCTGTAGATCTTCGAGTTTGTGCGATATTAGACACAAATCATCATGGACGAAATCCAAATCTTTTAGGGTCTTTTCATCGGTCAAACAGCATATGCCCATCTTCTTGCTCCTCACGGTTTGCTGCATGATCCAGTCGACCACAGTCAGGAAGATCATCGGTGACAGTAGGTGACAGCCTTGTCTTACTCTTGTCTTCACTTAATAGGTATCACTGAGCTTTCCATTGTGAATCACTTGGCATGTAGCATTGATAAAGGTTTATGACAGTTAAACCGTATTGTTGAAGCAGCTACCTGCCAAATTACTTCTCGGTCAAGGCTGTAGATGGCCTTTTCAAAGTCGATAAATTTGAGGTAGAGAGTTGACTGCCATTCTATACTCTAAGATGATGCGTAGCGTAGCATTGCAATTTGATCCCCACATGATTTGTTCTTCCTGAAGCCAGCCAGCCAGCCTGTTCCAGCCGTAATTTTCGATCCACCGCATCCTTTAATCTCTCCAGGATGATGCGGCTTAATATTTTGCTTGGGGTGGACAGAAGCATAATTATAGCCAGTTCTTACAAACACTTAGGTTTCCCTTCTTTCGAAGTTTAACAAGGTAGCCCTTCTTCCAGTCGATTAGCAGGTACCTTTCCTTCCTTCCCTCCAAACCATCTGCAGTAGTAGTGTTAGCATGTCCGCTGTTGTCTCTGCATCTGTTTTCAGTGCTTCTGGAGGAATTCCATCTGCTCCGGTTGCTTTCAGGGATTCCACCAACTTTATGGCGTTCAGGACTTTACTTCTGTTTTTGTCGGAGGGCTTGTGTTCACTGGTAGTTCTGGGGTTGCTGGTGGCATTTCTGGATGAGTTGCAGTTGGTGGTCGATTCAAGTGTTTTCTGAGGTGGTCAGCCATTGTTTGCTTTGTTTCTCCTGTTTAGTAATTAGGTTTCCTTCACTATTTTTCATTGGTTTCGTCTACGTTGATCTCTTCCCAGATAGTAACTTGGTTATTTGATATAGTTTTTGTCTCTTCTACCTGCGGCCTACTCTGCTTCACTTGCCAATATGTCATAGAAGTGTCTTTTGCCTTCGCACGCACTCTTCTTCACTTCTTTGTCCAGTGTTTAATAAGTTAAGTTCAGTTCCTCTTTTCGTTGTTCATCCTTGCACTGGTTCATCTTCTGCTTCACTATCTTCCTCTCTCTCCTCTATCAATTTCCATGTGTCCGTTGAGATCCATTCCTTGCTCTTTTTTCTTCCTTCCTAATACGGTTATGAAGGTTTCTTTCCACATAGCCTTCAAAGAGTTCCAGTGTTCTTTCACACCCGATCCTTCAGAGGTATTGCTCAATACCTCCCACTTTGTTCTGATGGCTGACGTGAAGATGTCCTTTGTAGTTTTGCCCTTCAGTTTCTGTTCTGGGTCTTGAACTTGAACTTTGAAGGCTTTCAACTTGATTTTGAAGATTCCTTACACTAGATAGTGAGTGGTGTGAATCTACATCTGCTCCCCTTCTTCATCTGATCTTGTGTCCAGTAGGCTGACTGAATCTCCACTTTCTTCACATTGAGATGAAGTCGATCTGAGTTTTAGTGTGTCCTGGTGTCTGGTGCAATCCGTGTCGCTTTGTGAATATCCCTGTGGTTGCGCACACTGCCTCCAATCACCAAATCGTTGAATGCGCAGAAATCTGCAAACAGTTCTCCATTTACGTTCATTTCACCGACTACTTCTCCACCCATGGTTAGTTCTCTTCCCGTGTTGTCTGCTCCCAGTTTGGCAATCATGTCGCCCATTAGAATTTTGATGTCTCCAACCGGGGTGGAGTCTTGTCCAGTACTGATTGCAGTTGTCTGTAGAACTCCTCTTTCCTCTCTTGATCCACATTATTTGTAGGTGCGTAGCGTAGCATTGTATGATTGTGACTCCTTTCTTGTGAGTTGAATCTTGCTGTCATGATCGTGGAGGAGATCGGTTCCCACTGAATGAGAGCCTTCGATGCTCTCAGGGACATCATGATAGTCAATCCGAAACTCAGTGTGCTCGTGGTTGTCGTCTGGGTGGCAATATTGGAGTAGATTATTGACTCTGTAGTTGGCAGTTCGGAGAGTCCACTCCCATTCCATCTGCTTTCGCAAATTCCAAGCACTTCAATGTGATACCTTTTCATCTCGTTTGCAATCTGGGCTGCCTTGCTGCGTTCAAACATGGTTCGGACATTCCATGTCCCCACGTTTACTTTCGCTTTCATCGAGAGCAGAGAAGACACATCGGCCAATTGGCTTCCGGAAGGCTTTCACCAACCGGCGTCATTTCGACTCCAGCATGGAATAAGTTTATTTTTCATATCTTCTTTGTGCTTTGAAGTTTGTTTAGCGGTAAGATTTGTTTTACGGGGTAGGGTTAGGGTTGCTAGCCCTATGCCCAACCTTCCCTCTTTATCCAGGCTTGGAACCGGCTAGCAACAAGTGAACTAGTTAACCAGGCGAGACTCTCAGCTACATTGTAATCATACTTATCTCAGTAGTCGAAGTTTTAAGCCCCATGCACAATGTGTCAGACGTATAAGAAATGATAATAATATGTATAGTGAATTACTCCAGCCTAACTCTGCTTAAAATTCAAGCGTACATTTTGTTTTTGAGACTGAATTTGTTGTGTTTCATCAAAAACTAACGAGTTGGATCAGAGAGTGTAATTCAAAACTTTAATCAGTTAGAATCGTAATATACTCCCAGCTTCTCCAGAAAGTTTCGAACAATTCAAATCTATTTATTGATATACTTTTAATTCTCCGTTGTTTCATTGGATCGAATTGTTCGACCTCTATTGGCATATGGGCTCCTATGCAGATGCCTCGATATTGGCTGAATGTTAATTATGGTAATTTGGTTGGTTGTGGGTGGCAGAGGAATCCAGGATGCGCTTTTCGTACTATTTGGGATTCTTTAGCTGGATGTACCTGCACCCCAATGAGTGATGGTGCTCCCATTGAGACTCGAACCTCGTACCATTGCTTCAAACGCCAAGGTGGTATCCAG